TAACGATCCTCTACTGCAATTGGACAAGGTGTTTTTTATGCCATTCGGTAAGTGAACCCTATCTCCAAAAGTACGATGAACACAATGAGTTATAATTAATAGATTTTTCTTTTGATATTCGAATAACTGCTGCTTTTAAAATTAGTGTCAATAACATTAGATTTCTATTGTCAAAAGGATGGTACAACTGTGTTAAAATCCACTGTCTCATTCTTAAATATTCAACGCACAATTTTAATAAGTTTAATTAGCAAGTGACTAAATATTTTAAATCTTGTATAGCTTATTATTTGTGAATGATGAACATAATGTTCACCTGCATTAAGAAAAATGATATTCTTTCATTTCTGGACATCCACTTCCTTCAATTCAACATACTTTTGGAGATGTCCATTACAAATTAACCCTTTGCGGTCGGAAGTTACAAGAAACGACGCTAGAAGCACAAATCCTATTAAAATTGATTTTTCAGATCAGTGGTAGACATATTTTCATTTGTGAGGCATACATTCTTTACGTAAACCCTGCGACTCAAGAAAGGGAGCCATTAACTTATACAATATTATCTAAAAACTTAAAATGCATCTACGACAAAAAACTTCTAAAACAAATGTCAACGATTACTTATTTTTTCCTCCTAACCCTGTCCATTCACCCCAATATCCTAAATGACGTCCGATCGCAACGGATTGAAATGGGACACCTTGTGCAATTCAACCACCATCGTTAACAATGGCCTAGTATGCTCGAAAGCCCGCACGTGCGGGCGCTGAACGAAAGTAAACTCTCCGGAAGCCGGGGCAGTCAAGAGACAGCGTACAGAGAAAAAAGAGTTTTTCAGCAACTACGTATAGAGGAGTCTCTTCTTCTAATCACCTTACCGCAAGAGACTTTGAGGCGCAAGGTGCCGTCGCGATACGCAGTACAGACTCTTCTTTTTATACGACAGAGTGAGGCGTGTAGGTACGAGGACGATAGAAGCTCGCCGTCGGAAACCGTCACGAGTGTTTCGTTTTTCTTTCGTCTAAATATTCTATGCCAACCTCTATCCCGTCCATATTTTTTTCTATTTCTTTCCTCGGTGTCCTAGGCTCAGAGCTTGAACCTGAGCCAACGCGATAAGAACATTCGAGGCGAGTCCCTATCGTTGGACTAAATTTTTCGCATAAATTTTACTATGTTACGAAGTGGTTTGAAATTTGTTCTTTTTTCACACGAGAAGGAGGAAGGCATACCTGCACGAAACATCATGGCGATCCCGACTACGGCCACACATAGAGGTATAGGCATAAGGCACAGGTAGCCAGTATCGCTATAGAGAACTCTCAAGCTCTTACTCGGTACTCGTTCTTTTACTTATCCATTCGGTTTTCCTTTCGCATAATTATCTTTTTTTTTTTCTCGGTTATCCTTTCATTTAAAGTTTCTTTTCTCGTTTCGGTAGCAAGACGAGACGGTCCAAGCTGGCGTGCAGGTGGACCGACCTAGCGCGAGCTGCTTTTGTAAACCGATGAGAAGTTTCTCTTTCTCGTGGCATATATAAAAGATGGTTTCTTTTTTCTCTTTTTATATATGCGACTCGTAGGGATTGGGGCACAATTGAAATAGGTACGATTCGATAAATGTAAAAAAGAGAAGGTGTGTAAAGCTGCTTGATGACCTCGGCTGGTCCTTTTACGTTCTCCTTCGATGCTCCATGAAGACTCGACTCATCGTGTTGTGTAGCAAGTAATTGGGTGCAATTGTGGTGGAACGAATTTGAAGAGGACTTCAATGCATAATGCTACCTTAAACTGATTTTATCCTCTGCGTTTAATTTCAGAATTCATTGTTTGGAATTTCTGTTTGAGATTAATTCAATTTGTATGCGAAACAAGGTAAACGTAACTAAAATTGGTAATATTTATGTCTACGAAACAATTTAACTGCAGTATTTTATTTTACTGCATTTTTTATTATATTTTAATTTACTGCTACTTTTTGTTTCCATTCCGAAGCTGAAAATTCGGAGAATAAATGTTTATTTTGATTTTTTTAAATATTAAAGAATCAGTAGACTTTAGGATGCTAGGAAAATATATAAACGAACATCAATAAAATTTGGTATGAAATAATTACTGAAATATTCTATACGTTAACGTGAATTTGATGTAATCCAAACTAATTGCAGTCTTCAGATAAGTTTTATATATTTATAAACATAAATACAGAGATAACTAAACACGAAGATGAGTCGAGTCTTCATTCCATCGAGAAACTTTTCGGCTGTTGTATGCCACGTAAGGTTTGTCGAATGTGTCACATTTCAAAGAAACGGTCTTTCTACAATTCCGACGACAAATAGTGTGAGCTATGGTATCAACATCTCTCTGTGTTCTAACGACATTCGTAGACAAACGTTACGCTAGACGTGCCCACGTTTAAACGGCGATGCCCAGAGACTTTTCCTTTAGCCATCGACATAGCAATGGTAGTTTCCAGGTGTAAAGATCGACTTGGTGTTTCGTTTCGAACACCGATGTTAATACGTAAAGTATGATCGATAAGCCACACATGCTCGCGTATGCACGTACATTCGCGGCGCACAGGATGCTTGTCGCAGACACTGCGCATCGTCGTTCAAACAAAGCAATCGATTCCACGTCGAATGACACTGTCCTCTGGTACACGCTCGGTTAGGCGGAAAAATGTGTTAAGTCATCCCACGGGTAACAGGCGAAATTTCCCTATAAGACGAGACGCTTAGAACGTCAAAGTTATGCGCTTGGAGCAAACTGTCCGGTGGTAATACTGAAAAATTAGGTAAATCGGATCTCACGGGCTGGAGCAATTTAGGTAGATGTACAGGAAACTTATGGAACGAATTCACCAGGTGAAATATGAAGCAGGGAATTTGGGTAGTTAATGTACAGGGCCTTAGTTTGGGTATATATTTGTATTTTATAAAGGCTAAGTTAAGCATGAGTTCAAAAATTAAAATAGCAATTGTAATGTATACAAAATGAAAAATTTTCACTAGTTGCATTTGAATAGATCTTCGAATTTTATAAAGATTTGGTTTGGCATGACTTAAAGAATTAAAATGGTAATTGTCATGTAATAAATTGTGGTAGAGATAACTCTTTAAATGGCAAGGTAAGATTAGGTATCGAGAAAAGATTCGACTGATTGTTTGGAGGTATATGCAAACAGCAATATGCTGAAACTGCATTTTAAGGCACTCGACCGAACAATCGCTATGGAAGTGTATCGCGAGCAATTGAGCAGACCGAAGTCAGCAATAAAAACTGAACGGCAATTCTTTACTCGGCTGGAGGAGAAATTTAGGATGTACTACGAACAAAAGCTTGTTCAGAAATTTATAGTCAGAGATACGTGGATAGAAAAATGCCTTGCAAAATTTTTAGGATAGGATTTTTATACAAAAGGAAAGTGGAGATGATAAATAGACATAGGGGGTGATGAAATATTAATTGGGAGAGAATTAATTATTGCAATTGAATTCAATTAAATTAACCTAGTTTTCTGTTATCATAGAAATCGACGTTTAGTCAGAATTTCATACTTACAACTATGTAAGTAGGTAAAAAGTTTGTTTCATTTTTTCTCAATTCATTATAGTATTTTTTAGAAGAAATTTAATTGAACTCAGAAAATTCGTATTCCTTGTGGGATGACTGAACATTCTACTTCGTATTATAATTTATATCACGACTCCAGTTGAGTTCACGTATTTATGTCCTGGAAAAATGTATGGTCGCCGAAGAATCGACCAGAGAACACCGTGTATTCGAAATGTTCATCGTCTTGTGTGTTTGGGGTTGGGAGGGGGGTAAATCTTGCGGCCATCACCTGCTTCGCCAATTTAATCTACGAATGTACTGTCGGTGGAAGACACAGTGAACTCGTAAAAGCTAAGATACGCGGAGACTCGATATACCAGGATTCTTAATTTTCCAGCATGTCATGTTTTCGTAAACACACCGGCACGTTAGAGGTCTGAAGAAAGGCAACCAAGCGCGACCGTACGAGAGGCAAGAAACGCGTTCAACGTCTGGTACTCGCGAGGTTTTTACATACCCTTTGAGTGCATGCCTCGAGGAGTTCCTTGTATCTTTACCACCACTAATACAATCATTGGCGAGACGTGACGGTTCTATTCTAAAAAGACGAACTTTGCGAACTTTGATAGAGTTATTTGATATATTCGGTAGATTTCTTATTGGTGCTGTGTGCAATGGTTGTGAAATTCCAAGAATCTGAGCAGGATCCATTTGACGAAATTTAGAACACGATAATGTACATTGTTTTTTAAAATTCCTTTTATAATATAAATTCAAATAAATACTGTGGAATGCATAAATACGGATGTAGCTTTCATCTAACAGTATACAAAATTAATACAAAAAATTTCCTTAGGGGGGAAATAATATAGGATTCTAAAGAAATAGAAACAAAGAAAAATAAAATATTCCAATTTCTTGTTTTGAAAAATTCCTGTCCACGAATAAATTAGAAATATGCAGGTTAATAATTTGGCCAGATTTTTGGAAGTTTCAACCATAGTACTGTCACTTAGATTCGTCATTAAGAATTCATCTATACGATGAAAATACAAGGAATCGTAGGGCTATCGTAGGACTATCTTCGAAACTATGAAATGTTTACAGAATTATTTCAAATGAAATTTCTATTCATAAAAGTAAGAATTTCGAAGATGATCCTCCTATGAATTTAATAAAATCATGTACGTAATAGGACATAGTGTTCGCAAAGTTCGTCCCAAGTACTTCTCGTCGAAAACGAAATTGCCTGTTCGAAATTGACAACTTAGGACGTGACTTCCAAGGAAATAAAAAAAGAAAAAATTTATATTTACTCAGGCCATTCAGTCTTTCGCGCGAGACTTCCTATAGTGAACTACAAAGGGCAGTTTATTGGGTATACATATTGAACTTCGATACTTTTGGCTATGTAAAACAGACGGAAAAAAGGCTTACCAAACCGACGAGTAGAAAAAATACTAGGAATGTTCGGCCGAGGATCGTGTGGCAGTAAACGTCGCCATATCCTACCGTAGACATCGTCACGATTAGAAAGTAAACGCAAGTCCAATACGGAAGCTGTTGCGGGTTCGTGAACTCGAACGGGTCCCCTGAGTTTTCAAGCTGGAAACAAACGAATATACGTAATCCAACATCCAGAGGGACTTAACATGCATTCGGTGAAAATGTCCTTTCGATAACAATTTATTGAAATTATTCTTGAAAGACATCCTGATACAAGAATAAAATAAATAAGAAACAGAGGATAAAATTCACGACTGGATTCTTGTGTTCATAATTCTTGAGATAATTATTATAGAAATTAAATTAATACAAGTAAGAAGTAGTATTAATATTTATGTAGTTGAGTAACGAAAATGTGAATTATTCTTATTTTTACCATAAAAAACCAGTATCAATTTTAGTTACTCATAAAAAGTAAATTGTACATTTTTAATTAATATAAATTTTGTTTATACATATCTTACTAACATTCTACAAAATTCTTATCTGGATAAAAATGTCACACCGAATAAATAAAAATTAAAGTATTCCGTCGAATAAACTTCTCGAGTAAATATGCGTTGCTTTTATTCGTTGCCTGTTATTAAATTAAATCTTTCCAATCTCTGTGTATCGTGTACGTTCTATTTAATTATTAAAAAATTAGCTGACGAATAGAAATCACTGTCTCACCAAATGAATGATGCCAGCAGCTGTCAACCAGACGGAGATGAAGATTGATACGAGTTGGGCGAGACGAATGGAGCTCGATGTCTTTAGAATGTTTAGGTACTGGAGGATGTCAGGGACCGTCATCAGTCGTAGGGCTCGGAGGAACCTCAGTCCGATCCACGTCCGATCGAGATATATCGACACGAAGGACGGTGGTATCGTAAAGTAGTCCACGAACGAATACATCTCCAGCATGAACCACAGCTTGTCACTGGCGGCGATAAACTGTAGCAATGAAACAAACTGCTGTATTCTCTTCGTTCACTGACTATTTCACGATAGTTGTATCGAGTACATGTTTATCCTAACATATTATTTGAATAGAATGTTTCTGTAATTGATAGGAATGAAAGTCTCTGCCACTTGTTATCGAAGAAGAAAATCCTGAAGCTCCTGAACACTTGAGTTAATCAGAAGTTAATCCTTATATACATGAATCGTGTTTTAAGTAAGTGTTCTATGTAAATTTGTTGGATACGGTGTTGTGACTTACGCGTATAAAAAAGTAGACCATAAAAAATATATTGAAAGCTAAGTCTATCTGCTGAGTAGTGTTGTTGTTCCACTGTTGGCAACGTTCCACCTCTTCGCTGTAACAAAAAATCGTCACAAAAAGATACATTAATTTGAGATCATTCGCGTACTTGCTCGAAGCTTAAAGGAAAATGAACGACAAAAACAGACCGATAAAAATAATACATTAAGTTCCTACATGCTCGTTAACGTTTTGTCTAATGAAAACGCAAACTTCTTCGCAAAATTCTAACATTAATTATACCAACAAATTTGTCAACATTACACGCTTTATAACTTCTTAGATATTTCATTTCTTATAATGTCATCGTAGAAGAATGTTGTCAATTCACTATCGATTTACGTTTCGAAATTGTTCAAATATTCTATATTCTAATTTGACACAACGCTAACAATTGTTTAAAAATAATGAAACTTATTATCATTATTAGAAATGTTACACAGAATTAAATTAACGTCGTATGCTTAAAGGACACTAAACAGAATTCCACAAATCAGTTAATTTTATATAACTATAAATATTTTACACAATTGAAAACAGTAATAAAAAGTGGCCAATTTAATAGTTAGCGAGGAATAAGAAATTGCTGAAGAATGCATATACTCACAGTACTCGAAAAGTAAAAAATATTGAACAGAAAAATGATGGAAAAGTTATAGAAAATACGTTTCGTTGTGAGTATGACGATGGTTATAGTAGGTGTATGAGAACGATTGGTATCAATGGGAATATGGCGATTCCTCGTGCAAAAATCAATGCAAAATATGCAAAACACTTTTTGATACGAGGTTTTGTTTTCGAGGAGATCGATTCTGAAAATTCGTGGAGTACGTGTGGGATTAAGTACTACTTCGTAAATGTGTCTGACCATTACTAATTATTTCTACTTGATACATTGGCGGTCAATATCGTAGGTCGTATCATCTGTTTTAATGGAGTATATACATATAATCGATTAGAAAATAGTAAAATCAGCAAAACGAACAGATAATGTCATACCACTATAAGTAGAAACAGTGAGCACTGTACAGACACATACGTTAAGTTATACGTGTAATTTATAGATCTTCGTGATCTTCTCAAAAACAATGCCTCGTATTAAAAGATATTAACTGAAATTTTCCATTGTCCTCCAAGCATAAAATTTGATTCTTCTCGGTGATACAAAACATTTTTCTAAAGATTGTATACAAGAGGCGTAGAAAATGTAAAAGAAACATAATATGAGAGAATATTTGAACAAATAATTTACAGTATGTGGGCAGTAGAAGAAGTAAATTAAGTGAATGTTAATGTGATTACAGCATGAAAAGTACATATATATTCTTTGATAAATCAACTAAGAAATTATAAAGGTTCTCTATTGTTAAACATTGGATCAAATGTTTAGTTAAAGTTTAATTAGTATCTCTCCTTTAGTTAAACGGACTGTGACTAGTATGTAAAACTGTAAAACTATGAATGTAAAACTGTAGAACTATGAATGTAAAAAATCTTTTGGTTTGCAAGAAAAACATTTAATATGGATCAAACGAATAAGAAGGTAAATATAAATGTGTAATTACCTAGTGGAACTATGGAGTGTTGTATGAAACATATAAAGAATATGACAAAATTAATTACATAAATCTATACAGTAAGGGGTGGAAAAATAAGAAGTTTCAGATTCTTCTAAATTTCTATGTTAAAAAATACTATACTATATATATATATAGTTTTTCATTCTTATTTTCTCTCTTTAGTTTAGCGTTTCACAATTAGAATTATAAATGTAAACCGTTTCTTTTTCTTTTCGCTTATAACAAATACACATCATATGGATTAAACGAATAAAAATGTAAATATAAACGTGTAATTACCTAGTGGAACTATGGAGTGTTGAATGAAACATATAAAGAATACGACAAAATTAATTATATAAATCTATACAATAGGGGCGGAAAAACGAGAAGTCTCAATTTGCTCGGAATTAGAATATCAAATGATGTTATCTCTACGATTTTTAATTACTTTTGCACAACGTATCACTCTATATCTTTCATCTTTCTGCCTTGCTCCCTTTTGTATATATTGGAAATGAGATTGAGAAACAGTGAGAGCGAATTATATACAATTGATACGGTGCAACCAGGTCCAGGAAGTGGTGGGAATAACTTAACGACAATTTCTCAGGTAAGTAGCAATTCTGTAGTTAGTTTTCTTACCTGGAGGCATCGATGAAGTATATTATAAGCGACGCTATACTGAGAATGAAAACTAACACCACCTGAAACATAAAAAATTAAGCGTCGTTAATATATAATATTTATTCAAAATAAATTCAGCAAGAATTACAAATTAAAGGTAAAGTAGAAAATAGTGTCTGAGGACTATAAATTCTCAGGTGTTTCATAAATTACAATGAAGACATGTCCCCTTGTTGCTCTTTGAACAAAAATCTTTTATTCTATTTAATTTCATATTGTTCACTTCAGAATGGTGATATTTGGACGCATTTGCTGGCCAGCGACAAAGGAATGTGCAACAAAGAGGAAAGAGAACACAAAATATTAATGCGTTGGTAGGACGTGCCAAAATGGTAATTGGTCAAAAGCGAATTTTACACCTCCATATATTAGAACCATACATTATTCAAGCACTGACTTCAGCCTGTGTCGGCACCAAGTCAAAGGAAACGAATAATAGAAGCATGATCAAAGGAGAGGCTAATTATAGACCGCGGGAAAATAAAATAAAAAGCGGTGATAAAAGAGAAACAATGGTAATCTGAAATCAATCCTCGAGTGGATCGAGTGCATTACACCTAGTATCACGAGCTCAATGCACCTTTCTCGTTCAAATTATTTTTAACCGGCTGTACGCGCTCAGACCTCGTTGGAGTAGACCAGCCCAGTCGTTTCCGTGTTAGCCTGAGCAAATGGACATTAGAGTTCAGGGTTACCATGTGTTGAATATCGTAATAAGAACTTATTCGTCTCTCGGCAGGCTAGTGAACTCCCTCATCGACGATCCGAGCACTTATCAAGCCTACCGCCTATCCTATAACCGTTTCAGTGAATCGATTCGATAACTAGTGGCCACTTAGGCGAAAGGATTATCACCTGGAAATTACCATGAATTTTACGTTTGTTAAATATCGTTGTAGAGAAGGAACAATTTTTTATTTGATATTTAATTTCTGTTGAGCTTACAATTTAAGTCATATTAAATTTATAACAAATTTAGGAATTGGAATTATCAGGAATTTTCAGCGGACAAAATTAAACATTTTTATTGACAACACCTATTGCAATAAAAACAGTATCTCGGGGAAATATTATTTTTCCACGTAGTGACATTTCGACAGATCGAACGTGCTATCGAATTAACTGTCAACCTCGTGACGCAACGCCTCCTGTTTGGATACAAAAGCACAAATAGTGTCAGCGCGGACGAAACTTTTCGATCTCAAAAATTCCTATCTCCCGACGTCGATCTTATCCGTTGCCCATTCTTAGTTGCCAGCTGACCCATTGGCCACCCTTGACCACTGTCGACCACCCCCACCACAATCACCCTATTTATATAATATACCCCAATTTACTTATTTACTTCACTTAACTAGTGAATTGAGTTATTCTTTCGGTTAGTCTTTTCTGTTCCATTTTTTAAATGTTGATCAATCGTAATTTCCTAGAAAAATGATAGAATCACATTTAGGAAAAGTTCACACTTGTACGCGTTATTTTCCTGCTCCACATAGTACATTTATATACCGTTATTTATATTATTTATATGCCATTATATAGTACATGTTTTCATTTATAATAATACAATTAACACAAGCACCAAAAATACAAAAAAGAAAATAATACTTTAGTGCTATAATTTATTACCAAAACGTGCCTGGGCTGATCTAAGTATGTTTACGAAGTCAATCGCTGGTTTTAAGGCGTATGATGTAACTATGTTTACAGAAATCTGGCTCAATGCTACCATTTCATCACCAGAGTCTAGTCTCTGGCCGATGCATTTGCAATACACGTTGTAGAACATGCTTCGATAAGAGTGACTATAAGTCTACCGACTTCAGGACTCTTACAACTCTATTTCCTTTATCGTTATTTCTTCCTCTGGTCCGTTGACTTTCTTTAAAATAAACGACCGGTCCTCGTGTGACCTCGAGTAGGTATCACTTGAATGCTACTCTCTTGTAACTTTGAACATTTCTGTTTAGCTAACTGCACTGTGCGATCCTGAAAGGCACGAAACTGCCTGTTGACCTGAAGTTTTGCTTCAACGGAGAAGTGCTACTGGATTCAGTTGCCGAAAGAGTGGTTTCAAGTTTCATACCACTCGAGTATATCACGAGTAGTTCACTATATCGCCTTCGCCGATTGCAGTGGAACATGCTCGTGTATGGCCCGTCCCTCTGTCCACCTTTATATGTATTTTATTCCTGAATTCTTCGACCAAGTCGTACATGGTCACGCTTGCAACTTTATTCGCATTCCGTATATGAAAGAAGAACGAAACGCAAGGAAACACGAATAGAAAATTCATACAAAATGTTTAAGTCAACATATAAATTAAGAAACGTGTCCAAGTGTACGTGTATTACCGTGGACAATACTGTAATCAAATAATAATTCTCGAAGGAAGCTAATGTTGCTGACGATACTAAGAGTTTAAAACAATATGAATAAATATTAATCATTGAATCAAATGATAATTCACAGATACAATAAATGAAGTGGCATTTTGAATAGTTTGAAGTTGGGCCTAAATCCTTATATATTATAGAGCAAAAAAATTGAAATTTCTCTTCGAAAAAATAATCGATTCAACTATTGGAATGCTTGAAACGTATCGGTTTTTGAAAACAAAAATTGCGTGGAACAGGTATGCATCAATCAACAAAGTAATCGAGGGATTGAGGTCGTAGAAGTTGTTTCATTGTCCCGAAAATTCAGAGTTCTCATCGAACATGTGCACTTCTAGCGTCTTACTGCCTTGTCCTCAATAGTGATTGACGTATCATAAAATCGCGACAGAAGTGATTCGCGTTACGCATAATTAAAAATAGTCCGCACGAGGCCAGCGGCTTGATCTCATCGTCCCGTTGGTAATAGTTTCACAAAGATACGACGAATAGTATAAAAAAATAGAATTAATAGAAACGGGGGTCGCAGTGCTAATTACGTGAAATATTGTACACATATATAATTCATGTTAACACGAGCATCGATCAAATCTTCGTGATTGCAGTTTCGTGGAGATTTATGCGATTTATCGCGCGTACCTAGTTAGTCTAATCTGCGTCGGACGTTTAGGAAGCTTTGAACCGTTTGCTGCATAATGATTAGCACGCGAGACCAAGGAGCGTGTCGAGAAGGAGAAAGGATAGCCACTTGCCCTTTCGACGGAACGAGTCGGTGCTGGTCAGTGACGTATCCGTGGAATGTTTACAGGTGTATGTTGAATCGATTTTAGAACCTATTTGGAGATGATAATAAATAATAATTGAGAAAAAATATATGTTACTCATATATTAAAAGAACGTGCGCTCTTTCTTTCTCGTGATTCTCTTGTTTTCTCTCGTTGCGCGAGAATGAAGTTAAGACTGGACTAAGGATAGAATAAGGATAGTTTTTAAGGATAGATTAAAGTTAGATTAAGTAAAAGTTGGAAGGAGATGTAAATGGAAGTGGGGGTCATGCAACCCCTTGGGGAGCATTAAATAAATACGAACATAATCCAGAAATTACATAAACAGTATTTCAGATGTACATAGTGTCATTACATGTATTTCTTTTGCAGACAATTCTTCTTGGACTATTTCTTCGGTCTCGTTGATACAAGTATTTATTCTTTTTAGTATATCCCAAGTCTCTAACAATTCTGAAACTACTGAAATATCTGAAAATTTCTTTTTCCATTGTACAATAAAATCAAATTTCCCCGAACAGCTGAGGAGTTTATTAAAATGTTAGCTTGTTTATGTTGGAATCGTCGAAAAGAAAGTGTAGAAAGAACGCAAGACGACCACGTCCGTGGATTTCATTCTTAACTAGGAAACTAGATTATCTGTAATAGGCCTTGGCACCTTGAAACTGTGTCAGTCGAACGAAGACGGGTGAGGGTTAGTGTCAGATCGAACGTTTTACTCCGAATGGGCCAACGTACAGACGATTATTTCCTCTACTTCCAGCGGCATGACAAATTTGTTATATTCTTGGAAACTTATACTGGCTGGTTGCCAATCTGCCGCTAACGACTTTTCTTCCAGATATGATCTACCTTCCAAATTCAACCACTCTTCTAAACTGCACTTCAGGCTGGCCTCTACCCTATTTCAACGCGAGTTTGCTTTCTTTTCCATTTGGCAAAAAATATGCTTCGCCGTTTGAATTGAATATTCTTTGTCTTTTTATCAGAGTTGCAATGTATTCTTAACAGAGGCCTGGTAAGTCTATATTTATTTCTCCAATATTGCATACAGTATTATAACGAATAACAGTGTATATATTATTTAAATATAAACATGTATCATTGGGGATTAGATTTTCGGGATTTTCATAACGACATAAAGGAACATTGTGTTACACATATAGTAATACAGCCTCTTACCAATTGTTCGCCATGCATGCTCTTTATTAAAGAACAGCAACATAGTTTGTAATTATTAGATATTATTAGGCATTCTAAATTTTTTTAGAAAATAATTGTAAACATACGACTTTAATTGTATCTGGTATCTAATGTCATTCAACCCTGTTGAATGACAACCTGATTTAGGAAGGAACGATAGAGTTGCACATGCACAGTTCTCCTTTTTCCGTCCGATCACTGTGATGTTATAAAAGACGTAATTGTTACAAAGGTCTCCTATGCATATCGATTTCCATTAGGTCTTTGTTCTAGGGTGTATCGGTTCTAATTGCGAGCTAAATTTCTATTAGGTTTTTATGCGCTCGCTAATTCCTATAATTCGTCGGATAATTTCAGTCAAATTCCAAAAAAGTTGAATAAAAAACTAAAAGTCTTTTATAATGTGGGTTTACTTTTTTTAATTATAGGAGCAAATTTCATGCAATATGCAGAATCTCTTTCCTTGAATATAATATTTATTAATTCAACATTTCCATCTTATTCCGAGCTATCTTTGAGGACAAATTAAATACATAATTCATTAGTTATTAGAGATTAAGTATGAATTATGTATTTAAGAACTTATACCTTATTAGAGATTAAGTATGAATTATCTATTTCATTTATTCTCGAAGG